GGTTAGGATTTCTAAACAAACAGTGGCATGAAATGTACCCCAGTTCTAGAAAAAAAAAATAAAGAAAAAAAAAAAAAAAAAAAAGATGAGCCTGGGAGGTTAAAATCAGAAGGATCTTAGGAAAGAAAAAACTCTGGGAGTGAGTCAGAGAATGATGTCAACTGCTCATTATGTCGAATTAAAACATGCATCTTGCCTCAATCAATAAACAAGCCTTGGCTCTGAAAAAGTTGTCCAAATGCCTCCATGTAACCCTGTGACACTTTATTCCTGCGTTCCGCAGACCTGTGACACTATGGGTGCCTGCGATGGATGGACAGGTGATGAGAGTGGACTAACCCCTGCTCTGAGCACAGAACAGCCACCTGCCGTTCTCCCTGTCGGCTTCTAATTCATTTCATGTCACTAAAACTAGACTAAAATGGCAGAGTGGAAGATCACTTTGCCTTTCCCTCGACTGCCTAATGATTGCCTCATTGCAAATCTGCTGCAATTATAAAAAAATCTTGTCCACTGTCAAAACTCTCCCCAGCCAGACTCTGCTCTCCATTGTGTTTTCTCTCCTGGGTCCACTCAGATCTGCAACCTGGTTAAGATCAGTCAACTTATTTGCATGAAGATATTACTTCCACCGGAGAACATATATCTTTAAGTTTGTTTTTTTTAAGATTTATTTATGCAGGTAGAATTGGGGTACAAGGCAGAGGTGCAGGAGCAGAGAAGACTCACCAGAGTGGGGAGCAGAACTGGCTGCTCGAGGAAGTACACTGCTGAAGGGAGCAGCGGGTGGGTCAGGAGAGGAAAGCAGGGCCATGTGGGTCACCTCCTGGGCTGGGGATCGAACTTGCACTGAAGCGGCTGCGGCTAGCTTGAGGCTGGCTGACAGCTAATGCTGCATCCTAACCCATTGAGCCACCAGGGAGGGTCATATTTTAAGTTTCTATCTGCAAAGAAAAGTTTTTACCTGCCTACAAGAAATTCTAGGCATCCATAAGGAACTTGGAGAGGGATAACTAGATGCCTCAACACCACGGAAGCAGGCAATCAAATTTTTTTTTTTTTTAAAAGGATTTTTGTTTTTTTTTTTTTTTTTTTTTTAAGATTTTATTTGTGCATACAGAACTGGGATACAGGCCAGAGATGTGGAGGGTGAGAGAATTCACCAGAGACAGAGTGGAGTGCAGAACAGGCACATCGATGAAGTACACTGCTGAGGGGAGCAGCGGGCGGGTCAGGAGAGGTCTGCCACGCCATGTGGTCACCTCCGGGGCAGGCGGGAATCGAACTCATGAGGAAGCGGCTTTAGATTCTCAGTGCTGGGCTTTAACCCGCTGCGCCACCAGGGAGGGCCCTCAGGCAATCAAATTTTTAGGGGGAAAGGATGCCCTGAAGGATCACCAGAGGATTTGCAGACTCTACCCCCACTCCAGACCAAAGCCATCAAGACATGGAAACTACAAATCCCAGCATCTCAGAAGGGAGGACGCTGGCACCTGATGGTGAAGTAAAGCAGCCAGCTTTGATATCAAGCCAGACCTGTAGGCTGTGGGGCGGTCTCGCTCCGCTTGCTCCTCTGGGCGCTTGGCTTTCGTCTGCTCTCAGCGTGCCACTGGGATTCCAGGTTGGTAGACCTGGTCGGACACATTACCAATTTATCGCCCTCTCTTTTTCCCTGAAATAATCATTTCCTCATTTCCCCTATTTCTGGAAATAGACCCTTTATTAACCTTCTGTGTATGCCAGCAGTTGAGTCTTATTATAAGTCACTTTTAAGTGCACAGGTGAGGACCCACAATCAGGCAACCCATTTCATGTCGGGGTTGCCCTGTGAAAGATAAGGGGAGGCCAGCCAGGCAATCACACTTTTAAGGGCACCAACTGAAAACGCAATGCCAGTTAACTCAGGTTTCCAGGCTCCAAGCCAGCAAACTCCCACAAAAGTAAAAACAAGAAGACATTTTTCAAGGGCACATAGTTCTTACTTCAATATGTACTTGTAGATTTCAAGGTGCCTTTGGAAGCTGGAACAACATTCATAGGTGCAACAAGCCCAAATTATGAAACCAAATGATGCATGATGTCATACTATTCCCTAGGAAGGAATAATTCAGCCTATTACATAAATTTCAAATGTTTTCCTTCTCAAGATGTTTACTGGGTGAAGAAAAACATTATTTTTTTTAAGGATTTTAGTTTTTTTTTTTTGAAGATTTATTTATTTATGCACACAGAACCAGGGTACAGGCCAGCGGTGCAGGGGCAGGGAGAGGATTCACCAGAGACAGGGTGGGGAGCAGAACAGGCAGATTGACAAAGAACACTGTTGAGGGGAGCAGCAGGCGGGTCAGGAGAGGTCTGCCACACCAGGTGGACCACCTCCCAGGCTGGGGATCAAACTCACACTGAAGCTGCTGCAGAGAGCTTGCAGTGCTATGCTTTAACCCGCTACACCACCAGGGAGGGCCCATATCCTTGTTTTAAATGCACTTTTTTCCCCTTGAAGCTTCTCTCTGTGAATTGTGAATAAATACTTAGAGACTATCCAGGACACCAAATTTTAGTCTACAAATACTCACATCTCATCTTGATCTGACCAGCCAGGTCATGCCATCCAAATTGTCTTTTTTCTTCCAAGATTTAGCCTGCTCCTTTGCACCTGAGGAGACCACCCAGTGAAGGGTGATAAGGTCTAAGCCTTCCCAAAGACCCAGTCCTGGCCAATCAGCCTGCTTGAGAAAGTGATTTGCTTCTAGACTTGGGTAAAGTGTACCCAATTCTAAATCGCCTTCAGCTGGTAGCACCAGGCGCTGCAGTTAGGGCTGGCAAAGGCAGGCCCTGAATCCTTTGCTGAGGGGGATATTTATAATGATGTGGAGTGGGCAGGAGCAAGCAGCAGGCTGGGCCAGGACCTCCAGACTCAACCCAGCTTGCTATCTTCCTCTCCAGCTCCCAGCAGGCTAGACAAAGCCAAGGTCAACAGCACCAGAGACTCTGCTTTCTGGACAACTAGTTTATCCTTCAGAATTTGACCTTCGTCCTGGCTGGCCCCAGCTTCCTGCGCCCTCCCCCAGGGCCATTCCAGTCCAGTCTCCACCTGTTTCCCCAGGCTTAAACTTCATTAAGGAGAACCAGCAAAACTGCTCCAGGCAACCACTTCCTTTTTCCAACCCCCACCCCCATCCTTACACCTGCACCCAGATTCTTTCAGCTTCTCCAGGACCCAGCTGGCCTGGAGGCTGTCATTAAGCGGGTGTTCAGAGCCTGCGTCTCCAGCCTGTCCTCTCAACAAGGCCATTCACTGAAGGCGGAAAGTAAACCCAGAGCTTTTGTCCTGGAGCTTCAGACGTTTTATAGAAATTCTGCTGCTGAACCCGAACACGAATGCAGCACAGACCTCCGCACTGAGAGACACTGCCAAACAACCAGGAGCTTTACTTGATTTTCCTCCCCCTTCCTAACCAGCTCCACCGCGCTTCCCGGGTACTAGGCACCTCCCCTCTCCCCTCCCCATTCTTTCTAATCAGCTGGCCACTGGCGCTTCGCCCCTCGGAGATCCAGTTCGAATGTCTACTTCCCTCCTGCCCACCCAGCCGGATATGTCTCCAATTTGAGGCCCGAAACGGGCCCCTTGAAGACACCTCCGGTCCTGGCAGGGAACCAGCTGGCGCTCCCTTGCTCAGGAGGCGTGCAGGGGGGGGAGAAAAGCGGGTCAGCGCCCCTTACCCTCCATCACCCGTAGGAACGGGCTAGGTTAAGGCGTCCCTCCGCCTTCCAGCCCCTGCCCGGCGCCGCGGGAGAAAAGGACCCCAACCCCGGCGCCTTTTCCAAGGGGCTCACCTCGGATCGGCTCTTGAGGCTGCTTCGCTTGGGTCGGAGTAGGACATCCTTGAAGTCCAGCTTGAGGTCCGCATCGATGCGGGGCATGGTGCGGAGGGTCGCGCTCGGCCGTAGCGGCGGGCGCCAGCAGCTCCTCCCTGCAGCGCCGACGCTGGGCGGGCACCGGGAGGCCGCCGGGG